GAAACAAAAACCTTACTATTAGAGAATCATGTTGGAAAATATCTGATAAATGCTGTAATGTTAATGACAATGGTATTTTGATGTTTAGTTCAGCTTTGTAAAAAAAAAAAAAAGCTTTTTGAAATACAAACCACATTTCCATTCAATTAAAAAGATATTGTGTGGGCTTGTTGAATTGTTAACAACAGTTAACAATTTCTGAAACACATCCCAGGAGGGAAAAAAGAAAAAATATGTTTGGCACTACAAAAACGCGTAAGAGGAAATTACCTGGAAATTTATTTTTGTTTGACCTGAATTCCTAATGGTAAATTATAAAAATACTTTGGATTCCAAAATAAAAATTATTCAAGAAGTGTTTTTTAACATGTTTTTGAATAACAGCAAAGTAAAGAATCTCAATATCATAGGTTTTGTTTTCACTTAGGCACTAAAAATATAATCAGTTACTTTCAAACGTTGTGCTTTATTTAGCAAAGTGGAGACCAAAGAAGTCCAGCTTAAGATGTCCTAACAAAATAAATAAATAAATAAATAAAATAACAAAAAGAAAGAAAGATATCCTAACAAAACATTGAAAAACTATTCTCCAGGGTCTACTAAAAATCAGGCCTATGGCTTCGTAGTTGCTGTGCCTATGTGTAAGCTTTTGTTCCTACAGCTCTTAAAGTGTGTGTGTTCCTGTGTGTATATTGCTACACATTCCAATAGAAATTTAGAGATAACATGGCTGTTTTTTATATAGTACCAGTCTAGTTGATAGTCTTTTTTGACCTGTAGAAATTTTTTTTTTAAATGAATAATTCAGACTCAAAGTGTAGATTGGTAACTGTATTTTAAACCAAAGAAAAATCCTCACATAATAAATACATTTTATGCACATTAACTTTGAATTTACTTCAGAAAGCTATTTACAATATAAATAATTATAAATGGGAACACTTTGCAAGATATCATTGACATAGCTAATATTATCTACTTTACATTCCAAAGTAAAAGTTCAAATTACAGCTTTATACTACAATGTCACTAAAAACTATACATTGCAAGATGGTATTTGAAATATTTGCAATCAGTATATTTTCTCACAAATATAATCCTTTTTATAGCATGTAGGTCAAAAAACAAACAAAATATTTTATCTTTTTTGAAGTGTCTTCTCGTATGTTTCATTTTTTGAAATATTTTCCTTTGGAAAATAAAACAGAAAAAAAAGTTACAGTACTTTTAAAAATTTTTTGATGTCAATTTTATTTCTTTGAAATGTAAACACACCAGGGTTGTGGAGTATAACTTCAACCAAGATTAAGTGTGTCTCATATCAGCAAATTAGGACAAACTTCCCCTATATAGATTTATAAAAGCAAAGTCCCATGCAGCAAAAGTATAATAAATAAATAAAACTACAAATGTTTTGTTGAAAAGTATCAATTAGGATTTCTTATGTGAAATGGTACATTTTTATGAATCTCCAAGGTGATATAAAAATTGTGTGTGTGTGTGTGTGTGTGTGTGTGTGTGTATCCTTTCTGCAGACAGTTTTGGAGAAGGAGCTCTGAACAAACCCCAATCTGGAAATGCATACAATCTCACTTTTGAGTGAAGCTCTATCCATACAACCCTTGTGCACAAGAAATGAGCACCACGTGGAAATTTCCCCAAGAAAACTTTCTATATCTGATACATTTGACATGTGTCCATAGCTGTTTTGTCACTCATTTAAAATTTAGAATGATAATGAATGTTTTATCCACAAAACATTTCACAGTAAGAACTAGCCAATAGATTTTGCTGTCTTAGACATAAATCCCTATTCACAAAAACTTGACATTTACATGAAAGCTGAATCACTTATTTGGAGGACCTCAGGATTTATATTCTTAAATCATTCAGAAAATAGGATGTAATCTACATGTATGACTTCAGCAAACTAGAGCGCCAAATTTGGACATTCAAATTTTTAAATCAGAAAGACTGCATTAAAGTGTAAGCTATTCCACTAGGCAAGGTGAGTGACCCCCCCCACCCCGTGTGCAAATATTCCATTTTCCAAATATCAGCATTCACTCTGTCATTGCCAAATACTACTAGGACCAATAGAATCACACTGAATATCTTGGTAATGTCCCGCTCTTGCAAAGAGAGTGCTATAAATATCAAATCTGTATTCAGAACATTTCTTTAGCTACACTGTCTTCTATCAAACTTATTTTCTCTAGATCTTGGGAAGGGAGTCCTTTATTTTTAAATATCTATGCATATTTTCCAGGTGATCTTGCCTTAAAATTGATCCTTGTCCCCCATTTAAAAAAAAAAAGAAAGAAATGAAAATTGGAGTATTTCATCCTTTTCTAGAAGATCCCATTAAATGTTATTTTAAGTGAGATTCTGTGCCTAGAGGCAGCATGTGGCAGGGTGGAGGCTGAATTAAGAATAGTACTCAGTGGAAATAGTCTAGCCCTATAAAAGATAACTGGGAAAGAATAAGTGGTTTTTCTGTATAAACACCAAAGGCAAATCATTTATTGCATCCTGTCTTATTTTGAATGTCACATGAGCTCTATCATATTATCTTTTATCAGGCAATTACAGTTTAGGAAAGCGAGTATGTTATATTCAGCATATTATGACTAAAGACTGTGGAGCGGAAGCATGCCTAAATATGTGCTCTGTGGGGATCGCCACATTAATATTATGCATCTCAAAACACCATAGGAAATCTGGATATTCTAAATAATCGTTTTAACAGAATTTTCCCAAAGAAGATTTGGAGGAAAGTCATTTGTCATCCAAATTTTTTAATTAGGTAGGGCAGGTGAAATGGGCAATAAAGATATTTTTACTATTACTGGAAAGGGTGAGCTGTGTGTTCTCTAAGGAATCGATCCGTGGTTTTCTGGTAATTGGATATAACACATGTGTGTGATTCCCCAAGGTGATACAAAAATGATGCTTCTCTCTCTATTTCAGTCGTTTCATGGTTCTCAGCATTTAGCAAAGTTATGGAAATCAAGAATTGAAACTAATGCCAATTTGTTTAATTTTAACCGATTAAGTTATTGGGAACATCTTCATCTTGTATCCTATGTTTTTAAAAGATACAAATGACATATTCCTTATGAGGAAATATATTCCTGGACAAAACAAAATAATGTAAACTATAAATACAATTTAACACGTTTATATGTATATTAAGAATGTACCTTGTCCTAAAATAAGGTACTTTGGGTCATTTTGTAATAATCACGTCATATTGAAAAAATGTAAGCTATGTAATAGTATGAGCCCCAAAAGCACTATATGTAATGTAAAAAAGTGGCTGCTATAAAATTATTGGTAATCAGTTAATGAAAAAATGGTTGTATGTATTTAAGACTGGGTCAATCTACCAAAATTTTTAATCAAGATATAATGTAGTTAATTCTGTCTTCCCTTAAAAATACTAGTCATAACATTTTAAAAGAATTATTCCTTCGAATTACCCCCATCTTTTAGATCATAATTTTTTTTCTTCCACAAATTTACTGTCCTCCATATAAAAATTCCACTAAAATTCTTTTAGTATCAGTTCATTTTCCTTGGTTCTTAAGTTTTCACTTCTCTTTTGGAATACATTCCTGACACATTTAGTAGAATATATGTCCATCAGTAAAACTCATCTGTATAAATTTCCTTTTCAAAATACACTGTAGTCATCAGATACTTGTCTTTGAAACATTTATCCACGCACACCATTCTACAAAAACCTTTAGTATTCCTAAAACATAACTTCATGTTGCAAACTGGTCAAAAATCCTTTTGAGTATTCCAAAGGGTTCCTCAAAATTATTGAATACTTTTTTTGGTATAGTTTCAAATTTCATTTTTATTGTGCAGTCACCCCTTGGTATGTGGGGGATTTGTTTCAGGACTACCCTCACAAAACTAAATCCATGTATATTCAAGTCCCCACAAGCAGCCCTGTGGGTACCATCCTGTGTACACAATGAGTCAGCCCTCTGTACACACAGGTTTGGCACCCTCTGTATACCTTATTTCAAAGAAAAAGCCACGTATAAGTGGACCCATGTAGTTCAAACCTGTGTTGGTCAAGGGTCAACTGTATTTTGAACTTTTTTGAAAATATATATGATAACCACTAACTTCCTCACTTATAATTTTTGCATTTACATCACAAATGTTGCAGTTATTTAATTTTAGGTAGCCTGTTCTCTCATGTACAAACAAATCAGTATTCATCTTTCAAAATTATCATTATTCCGATTGTCACATACCTATCCACTGTCAAATAACTGTATTAAAGGATGAAAATATAGTACTAATCCCTGAGTATTCAATGCCATGATCTTGTTACAAAATTATAGGTCAAGTTCATCCAGTACATTCCCCTCCTTGAATATGGCAAGAGTTTCAGGCATGGGACTCCTAGGAAATACTATCTATGAAACTTCTCTAATCACTTATGCCATTTTTCTTTGATTATTAGAGAACCGCGTATTAAATAAATCTTGCTATTTTTCTTCTCTCTCTTAAATTTCTACTATCTATATTTTGGCTGAATCTGGAAAGTTGTTGACTATAACTGTACCTGCTAAAAGGAGCCCACACACGTGCTGAAGTTACAGTATCTAGACCTTTGTATATGTGCAGAAAAACCAAAATGATCATTCTTGACAACTTACAGCAGGGAGTCAACTAGTTAAGAACTCCAGTCCTGCTGTACCAATGAACCACAGAGCCAAAGAACATCGGAACTGCCTTATAGACCAGAAAACTGGAGCTCAGGCATGGTAAGTGACAGATCACATATCTGTAGTCACAAACTAAGTTATAGGAAGGGTCAGAACTGGAACCCAGGGATCTAGTCAGCTGGCCTTTCTACTACACCACACAGACCTAGAACCAAGTTTGTTGTTTACAAACAGTAAGGAAAATGAACACTTCACCTATTCCTCCGGTCAGAGTTCGCCGCTTGCCCTTTATCTACCTGTCTTTTCGCCCTTTCACATGCTGTCACGTGGGCACATCTGTGCTTTGAACTATTTTCAAACTCTTACGCTGCAATCACGTAGCCGTTCGCTTGTTTACCTTATTTTTTTGCCTTTTTTTCCTAGGTGAATTGGTTTGAATTTCTTATTTGGTTGATTTTATAAGTAAACCTCTACTACCTCAATGACCTCATGTACCTGTTCACAGCCTTAAACTGCTCATCTTGAAATACATTCTATTTCCCTCTGCCTCTGGCCTTTCCATCCTCACCAAACTATGTCCAGTTGAGCATGCCAGGGTTCTGATGTGTGTCCTGCCATCTCAGTGCTTTTACTTAAAAAAAAAATCCTTTCTGCTATGTCAGTGGAATTCTGGTCCTTGACTAATGCAAAAGTAAGCCCAAAAATTACCACTTCCTGATTGCTTCTAATGGATACCAGGTGAAAACTCATTCTTGCACCATATCCACAACCATTGCTCTAATTTATGCTTGAACCAAAGGAGCTGGCTGGTTTGAAACCAAAAAGAAGAGATTAGTTCACAAGACATGTCCCTCTCTTTCTTAGTTATTTGGGGAATGGGAATTTAAGAAGCTTAATGTGGCAGAGTGAAGGAAAGTTACCCATTTATGGTATGTTTAGGGTGTACAATCTATGTTTCTGCATGTAAAGCGTATGTAGCAGTTGGTGCTAGTGACTGTATGTGTGAGGCTCGCTGGATCATCACAATGCTAGGTTGTCATTCATCAGTCCTTTCATGTGGTGTGTATGCTCATTTGATCTACATACGTATTTTTCAACTGAAAATCTATCTATTCTGGTTTCCATATAATTAGAGGGGAAATTTGTGTATTCAGTTTTGCTCCATATCTGTGCATAACCCTGAATGCTAGTGCTATATTTTCTTTGATTTTCATAGGAACACATATCAAATACCCAGTAACTTAAATTACCCTCTAATAATCTATAGCATAGTAAATGCTGGTAATGGGGTATTAAACTATAAATATGTTTCAGAGATCTTAAAGAACAAAATATTTTAGAAAAACATCAGCTTCCATTGGTTATTATAACAGATGTTCCCTTGTGTCCTTGTGCTGGGTCTGGCTGCATCCTTAGATGGGAAGTTACATCGAAGTGTGAGCCATTACAACCCAAGGAATAGTTTCTAATGGTTTCGCTGTCATACAAGTGCTCCAGGGCATATCCAGTTAGTGTATAAGCATGCTTATCAAAATACTGCCGGTGAGTGCCAAAGCAGTTTGGAGAGATGGCAGGATGGTCTCCTGCTGTCTGGTGAGGAGATATATCTGAATGTAGATAGTCTTTAGCCAGGATCAAACTGGATTTCGAAATGCGATCCGAATTGGGACTACTTATCCGAGATATTGCAGTGGGACTGTTGTCATAGTCAGTTTCACTGGGGCTCAGCATCTTCCCCTCTCTCTGCTGGATGTGGTCACATGGTGAAGTGCTGGCAAGAGCAGAGCCATGGCAGACTTCACCTGTTGGTGTGGGCTGCTGGTAGTTTGCAAAACAGAGGGGGTGTTTTTTCCCAGCTCCATTAATGGAAGCCAGTTGGTCTGATGGGGCTTTCCTTAGCTGCAATCTGTTCTCTTCTTCTTTAATCATTTGCTGAGTGGCCCTTATCAGAGTTTCAATTTTGCTAGGTTCGTGTGGGCTACTTTGATACTGCTCAGTGCGGTATCGGTCACCTGATTCGCTGGCCGACCCAGGGTCTGGAGAACTGACCACGCTGTCTTCATCCCAATGACCTCGCCCTAGAAATTAGGAAAAGGAAAAAGTAAGTGATCTCAACATTCACCAAAAGAAAAAACATGCAGTATTTCTTTCTCCTACTAAAATGAACTCTGTATCTTTTATTCTTAATATAGGTACCAATATTTGAAACAGACATAGACTCATACAAAATCAATGACTTTTAATGCAGATAATGTTTACAACACATTTCTTGTAAGACAAACCTTGTCTACTGGTTGCGAATGCCAAATAGCAAAATGGTAAAATGTCTTTATGCTTCTCCGTGTTTATGTGTTGTTGGACCTGTCTGACTGCAAATAAAAGCAAAATACATAGAATTTGGTTTATGTTACTTTCTAGAGCAGGGTCATGTTAAATTGATGCTTAGAAAATACTTTCAATTGGGTTTGAGGAAGATGATGCTATAGGCTGAACTACTCTCTCAATTTCAAATAAATCAAAAAAAATTAATATTGCTAAATGTTATCTTAACTAGAGCTACAAAAAAGCTCCCTTGTTAGTTTTTAGAGGATTTGAATGGTAAAAATGTACATACTTATATACGTGTACATGTTAAGTGTGGGCAGATATAAATATAGAAACAGATATTGATTTATCTTGTCCCAGGCAAAATACAGTCTTATCAAACCCAGCAGTAAATATTTCAGCTTCACAGGTAATCTTACAGTAGCTCAGGTATCTCAGATTGTTCTGAAATAAGGTTTAAAAATAAACAAATATTTATAATTTTAACAACAACCTGCTGAGAATTAAGGAGAGAGATCTAATATGGTGGAATAGTGCACCCAACAGATAATCCATGAAATAAATTATTCATTTATATGGAGTTTGTAGAAAAAGAGAGAAGAGAATTAGGCAGGAATCTGTGAAAGCTGTAAGCTGCCTAATGCAGCAGAGAGGCCCTGGATCACACTATTCATTGCTCTCCTTTTCAGTTTTCTTCTTATTTTATTTCTAATATTTTCTTCCAGACCCTGTAGGTTAAGCCAGGATTTTCACTTCACTCTATTCTTTGGCAAGCAATTGCCCTTTGCTCTGGGTTTCCATTATCAGTCTACCGAACTAAAGACACTCAAAGTAAAATCAGAAAAATAAAAAGCAAGAATGGAAACACATTAAAATTACTCAGTGCCTGGGTGGTATATGACAGAAGACTTTGTGTGGAGGCGACATCCTCTAGCACACTTTGCGTCCTAACAACAAAATGAGTAGTACTAGGGCCTAATCAACCCTATGCCATTGACTTTTATTGCAGTAGGGAACAAAGATCTGCCTAGACACCAGGCCTAGAATGGACAAAATCAGCTCTCCTTAACCAGTTTATTTTGAAATGAACAAAGAGAGAAGCCCTTCCAACAAAGCTTTAACTTCAGTGCCCATTTCAAGGTGTGTGTAAAGTCATAGAATCCCGGTGCATTTTACAAACATCAGTCCATCCCTACCCACAGGGGGCATTATGGGTTGTCATGGCCATGCCGGGGAGCAAGGGGCAGTTACCAGCATTTAATAATGCTCAGAGAGATTAAACGTCTATGATATGCGTGATAGTCCATAAAACAAAGACTCGTCCTCTCCAGGACATCACCGATGCCCTTGCTGAGAAATGCTGCTATAACTGAGTGAGCTCACAGGCTTGAGTCCGCAGGTGAAGAGAGAGAATGCCATTTAAATCCAGCATGCTACAAATTCAACAGACCTACTCACCAATTCACTTTCACTTAATTTCAATGTTTTTGATGTTTAAAATGGGAATCATTTCTGCTCACTCATGCAAAATAAACGTATTTGCCAAACATTTTAGCAAAATTAATACACTGAGACAGTGGACTTGGTTTTAAATCCCATTGGTTTGCGTTTCTGATTAGTCCCTCAGCGTCACGCGGAGAGTGTTCTACACCTGCCCTGCCAGCGACGCAGGTTCAGGAGTCCCCCTCTTACCGTGGAGCCTGTGCACCGCGGCGATGTGAGGCATGCTGCTGTCGTAGGCGTCTCTGCTCTCCGGGGAGGCCTTGGCCAGGGGCAGGCCCGCGCGCGAGCCCCACCAGGGCTCCCTCCCGGCCTGCGGCGCCCCCAGGAAGTACCTGCCCGCCTCGCAGCGGCCCCCCTCGCAGGCCTGGCTGTGGAAATGCCTCTCCTCCACCAGCCGGGAATGGTCGAGCGCAAAGCCGTAGCAGAGAGAGCTGCGCTCGGAGAACTGTCTGTAGGCGCAGGACGCGTCGTGCTGCGAGCCCGGCCTGTCTGCGGGGTCCAGGAGCTGCGGGGAGGCCGTGTCGGTCAGGGGACTTCCGCCCCACTGGCTGTCGTGGTCAGACTCCGATCTTTCCGTGTGAAATCCCGAATACTGAAACCGAGGGGAGGAGAAGAGTCCACTTCAAAAACCGAACAAGCAAAATAAAAAAACAGCCTTTACTTCCCAAGCACCTGTAGGGTCACACTGGCCTGGGGCCGCCAATATGGGACATGCTCTAGCCCCTGGGCTGGGCTAGCCTGCAGTCCCTTAATGAGTCCAGATGCCTCCAAAGAAAATCCTTCGCCTGCTGAAAGGAGATAAAAATAATGACTGAAGCCTCAGCACAGAATGAAGTGCTTTGTGGCATTATTCCACATGGTTAGTTAGTACGTCACAGTCACCCTGTAATGGCGCCATCAGTGTCCCCTTCACATGAATAGGGAAGCTGAGGCGCCAAGAGAGAAAGTGGTTTGTCCAAGCCCACAGTGTTAGCTGGTGACTGAACCAAGATTCGAAACCAAGTTTTTCATCACTACCCTACCCTTTATCTTTGGTACTTATTACCAAAGAGAGATTCCTAAAAACCTCCACATTTTATTTCTATTTGCCTTCTACATTTTTTCTTAATTAGCAAAACAAAACAAAAACTAAGGTTTCAGTCACCAGTGTGCTCAGTCTTCATAGGAGACAAGCGCTTATCGAATTCAGTTCCCATGTAACTGTTAAAAAATCTTGCCCCACATAAGAACTGGGCCTATTTACTAGGATGTGCTTCTCATTTTCTAATGTAAAACTTGGATTATGCACAGGATCATAATCATCAGAAAACGAAGAGCCACAGGCAAGCCTTGTGCTTTGTTGTTCACTTACTCCCAGACGATTTGGTCAGATATTCAAAGAAAATGTAAAATGCATAGCAGATCTCCCTAGGAAATATGTCCTAGTTAGAGTTTGAAGGTCTTCACAAGCCACTAAAATTAGTAATAGAATAATTTTTATCTGTGTTTCTTTACCTAATGCCAAGTACAATTCTAAGTACTATGTAGGGATTATCTGCTACAATATTCAGTGAGAGCTTATTCTGTCCCTGGCAATACACTAATCATTCCATATACAGTATCATTTAATCTTCATAACCACCTGGACAGTAATATAGCTCCATTTAACAGACATGAAACTACACAACTAAGAGTTCTAATAAAATGCCACGGCCATCTCACAGTCCATCTGGTCTTAAGGCCTACACTCCAAACTGTGATTTCATACTTCAGATAAAACACCACAAAGAGAGGAGAAAAAAAGATCCTGTGTAAGGGAAATTTATGGGGAAAAAGGCAAGAACTGTTTTACAGTCCCAGAAACCAAAATATAAGTCTACTTTACTTGTTTTTTTCTACAACAGAAGAAAGAGGAATGGATATGTGCACTATTGTAAAGGGAAGAGGAAACCATCCTGGGTTCCACCATTCTTCAGCTCCATGTCACATGCTGGTTCAGCATGTTCACCCCCATGAGACCTTCGCAGGACAAGGCCAACTCTCCCTGCCCACCCTGAGCAGTGGAAAGAATCCTGATTCTTCCCACATCAATACCAACATACAACTCAGCCTATAGCTCTTGGGAACAGAGACATACAGAGGTTGCTCTAGGGAAATCCCAAAGTATGCAAAGATAGCTCTCTCAGGATAGAGTTCTGTGCAAATCAGAGGCTCAAGATTTTTCTGTTACCATTTCTAAGTATTACTTTTATTCCAGGTACCCATGGAATATCAGCATATTGCATCAAGAAAAAATTAGAAAATGCAACTTTTCTCCTTGCAGGATGGGAGAACGGATGACCTGGAGTATTGTGACGTCCATTTTTCTTTATCACACATTCCACATGCCATCAGCCTTTTCTGCCCATGAACTCCAGCCTTTCTTTTCACAAAAATCCCCCCTTCACTTTCACCAAGGCGAAAGATGGAACTCCCTTGCCTTACCAAGGGAGAATCTAAGTGCTTTACATGTGACCTTTGGTAGCACCATCCATGTGCTTGCCTCAGAGAAACTCAGACCATCAGTGCTATTCCAAGCTATGAGTTACCCAGACTCTACTTGTTTTTATAAAAGTATAAGCCAGGACTATTTCTGAAGTACTCAAGTTAAGACTTTTGAGCCCAGTGGAGAGGGGGAAACTTTTCCCTGAGTGTATATGGGAAAATGCTATTGGCAAAGCAGAGAACATCCTGTCCTTCACTTACAGGGAACGTTCAACACGCAACAACCCTGGCACACAGGAGGCGACATTTCAAGAGCATCCAAAGAAGAATTTGAAAAATAAGCCTCTTGTCATCAGCCAGAAAACTGCAACAGCAAGTATACAGACCTAGATAGCTAAGCAGAAAGAAGGTAGATGGTTCAGTTAGCCCAAGACCGAACACTTGCTTTGGAGAGACAGAAGAAAATCCTCACAGTAAACCTTTGTTTTCAGAAAGATCTGTAAACTTGCACCTGTGTGCACCATCAAAACTCTAAGCCCTGGAGAAAGATTTTGTGAAGACTTCAGTGGCAATTGCAACAACAGCAAAAATAAACAAATGGGACTTAATTAAACTGAAAAGCTGCATAGCTTTTCTGCACAGCAAAGGACATAACAATGAAAACAAATAGACAACCTTCAGAATGGGAAAAGATATTTGCATATTAGAAATCTGATAAGGGTTGATGATAACCAGATTCTATAGAGAACTTGAATTAACAAAAAAGGAGCTAATAATCCCATCTATCACTGGGCAAGAGACATAAACAGAAAACATTCTCTGAGGAAGACAGACAAATGGCTAATAAACATATGAAAAAAATGCTCATCATCTTTAATTATTAGAGAAATGCAACTCAAAACCACCGTGAGAGATCATATAACTCCAGCAAAAATGGCCCACATCACAAAGTCCCCAAGTTGCAGATGCTGACATGAATGTGGAGAGAGGGGAACACTTTTACACTGCAGGTGGGACTGCAAACTAATACAGCCTCTTTGAAAAGAAGCCTAGAGAATCTTCAGAGAACTCAAAATAGGCCTTCCTTTGATCCCATTACTAGTCATCTATCCAAAAGAAGAAAAAAAATTTATCATAAGGACATTTGCATGAGATTGTTTATCAAAGCTCAATTTACAATTGCCAAGATGTGGAAACAATCTAAATGCCCACCAACCCAGGAATGGATTGACAAACTACGGTATATGTATACCATGAGATATAGCTATAAAAATGATGGAGACTTTACATCTTTTGATGAGATTGAAACACATTGTTCTTAGTAAAGTATCACAAGAATGGAAAAGCAAGTATCCAACATACTCAGTACTAACATCTACATACATTCATTCACACGCGTGTGAACACACCTGGAATCAGGAATCAAAAATTTAAAAACTAAGAAATGGCAAAAAAAAAAAAAATATATATATATATATATATATACATATATATATATATATAGCAACAAAAAGTAGCCACACTCAAAGTAATCAAATGCATGATGAATAAATTTTAAGTCATGAAGAGAATATATTTAATTGAAAACTTAAATTGAAGAAAAGATAAAAAATGTCAAAGAGAGAAAAAACTGGAGAAATTAAAATGATCAGAGAGAAAGTGATTAAAAGAAAAAAGAAAACATTAAATACATGCATGACATTTATGTAGAAGGCAAAGGAATTAGAATTATTAAAACAATTTGAAAAAGAATAAAGCAAGAAAATGTATCTATTTAACTTTAAGCCTTAGGATACATTTGCTACACGCAAGACTGTGTACTATTGACAGAGAGAGAGAGAGACACACACACAGATGAAAAGAAAAGAATAGAAAGCCCAGAAATATGGGCTCCTCACAAATATGCCCAACTGATTTTTGATAATTCAGCGATGGAAAGATAGACTTCTCAACAAATAGTGCTGGGATAGTTGGACATTCATAGGCAATTATCAAATAATCTTCAACCTAAGTGTCACATCTTATATTAAAAAGAACTCAAAAGGATCACAGACTTCATTAAATATAAAAAAAACATAAAATTATAAAACCTTTAGAAAATAACATGAAAGAAAATCTTCAAGATCTAGGGCTGACTAAACAGTTTTTTGATTTGACAAACAAAAGCACAATCCATGAAAGAAAAAATCGATATATGGGACTTGATCAAAATTAAAAAACATTTGCTCTGCAAAACACTCTCTTAAGAGGATGAGAAGATAAGCTACAGAAAAGGAGGAAACATTTACAGACCACATCTCCAACAAAAGACTAGTATCCAAATACATAAAGAATTCCCCAAACTCAACAATTAAAAAAGAAACGGGAGACAGACATGAAGTGGCCCTTCACCAGATAGGCTGCACAGATGGCCAACAGTCACATGAAGAGATTGGCAGCATCAGCAGTGAGAGGAAGATGCAGGTTAAAACACATGAAATATCACAGCACACCTATCCGGCTGGCTAAAATAAAAAATAGTACCAATACCAAATACTGGCAAAGATTCAGGGAAATTGGATCACTCATATGATGCTGGTAGGAATGTAAAATGATACAGCCACTCTGAAAAAACAGGTTGGCAGCTTCTTAAAAAAACTAAATATGCAATATTACCATATGCAATCCTGGGCATTTATCCCAGAGAAATGAAAAGTATATTCATATAAAAACCGTACACAGATGTCTATAGCAGCTACCACACACAATCCCAACACACACACACACACACACACTTTCAGGTCCTCTTTAATTATTCCCTTTCTTTTAGAAATATCTTTAAATGTTGGAAAATACACATAGCATAAACTTTACCATCTTATCCATTTTTACTTGTATAGTTCAATGGCATTAAGTATATTCACACTTCCAAGAAACCATCAACCATCTTCCAAAACTAAACTCTGCATCCATTAAACAGTAACCAGTAACTCCCCATTCCTCCCACCCCCTACCCCTGGCATCCACCATTCTACTTTCTGTCTCTGTGACTTGGGATCTTCTAGATATCCCATGTAAGTGGAATAATATAGTATTTGCCTTTTTGCGACTGGCTTATTTCACTTAGCATAACACCCTCAAGGTTCTTTC